CATTAACTACTTGCCACATCACCATTTTTGCTTATGTGGCATCTACTCCCTCCATTCCAAAATATAGTGCGCCCGCGCTTCTCGAGGTTCAACTTTGACCATAAATTTAACAAACAAGACCGACTGCGGTGGAAGAAAAAATTATATAATTAAAAACTTCTTTCGAATACGAATTCACTGATATAAGTTTTGCTCCCGCCGCAATCGGTCTTGATAGTTAAATTTACGGTCAAAGTTGAAGCACGAGGATAGAGGAAGCACTACATTGTGGAATGAAGGGAGTATGTTACTACCTATGTTACTCCCACTGTGACCAGCCTAAGACAGCAAGCGGTCTACGGTCTACTGCGCCTTAAACATCTCTGTCAGAGGCCGTAATTATTCCTTGTCCAAGCGGAAAAGCTGCCCTCCGCTGCCGCCGCTGCCTGCCTCCCTCCCTCCCTCCCTCCGATTTTATTATTTGCCCTGGAGCTCCACGGTGCCGCCTTCAACCGCTAGCTCCAACCATAACCTGCTGGTGCCGGCGCCCATGCCGATGCCAGTGCGCACGCCGCTGTAGGGGTAGCAGTGGCGGCACGGCCGGCATGCAGCTCTCCGACGGCTCTAGCGGCTCGAGGTACGGCCGGAGCTGGGCGTGGACACCACCGGCACATGGTCACGCTCCAGGGCTTTGCATCGGGCCGTCTCTGTCGCTTGCACCGCCTGCTTTCTCCCTCGTCGACACAGCACCTCGCTCTGCCCGCCCTAATCGTTAACGGACGTAGCTTTCACCGGAAATGTTTGGGCACAAGAAGAATAGAGAGAGTGCACAGATACATCACGCCACGAAAGGCAAGAAACTACCGGTGCATCTTAAATTCCTACCTAAATCCTCGGCCTCGTCACGGCTCATGATCGTCAGTGACTTGTGGACGTGGTGCTCGCTGAGCAAGCCCGAACCACAGCACGCATCCAATCCAGCCTGAAGTAGTTGCTTCTTCCAATAATCTTGACGAGAACTAACCAGCACTGCCGAGATGCCATGGCAGCGCTTTCCAGCGTGACTTGTCGATTGTTCACTTGCTCAGTACCACTCCTACTCGTGTAGGCTGTACCCACAAAAGGATCGCTCACCCATTGGCGCATCCGTCCGTAGGCCGTAGCCCAGCCCGCAATGAGGTCAAATCTGCTCTGCTCCGGGACGGACGGACGAATATGTGCATGGCAAAGCAAAAGTCCCGCTACGTACACCACTAGCACCGCCGATACGGCGAGACGTGATCGCGCCAAGACTTTCCAGTGCGGCCTGGCGACTGTTCACTTCTACACTCCGTTCATCGATTGGTGCACCCGCAGCTCCCCTCGCCCGCAACGGCACAAGGAGCGGATCAAATCCGATGTGCGACGGACGGACGAAACGAATATACGGCAAAGCAAAAGTTCATGTAGCGCCCCAACACCCTCCTGTGATCGGATTTCCTGCTCCCATCCTTTTCCCCTCTTTCTCTCCTCTGAATGCGCGCTCGAGCAAAAGCCTTGATCGGCCTCCACGGCTGGAGCTAGCCCTAGCCGTCGTAGCATGCAGGCCCTGTTTGGATCATGGGGTTAGAGCTAGTTTGGGTTAGTTTGGGGCTCAAATAACCCAAAAGTATCCAAACAGGGAGGGTTAGAGTGGGTTAGTTCCATCTAACCCAACTATCCCAGTGGAGAGGTACTTATTTGGGTTAGAGTGGGTTAGAAAATAACTCTAACTCTAACTGTGTTAGAGTATCCAAACAGGGCCTGCAGTAGGAGCAGCATGAGCATACCCCTACTGGTACGTACGCCGCGGTAAGTGTGCCGGGCTTTCGGCATCGAAAGCAGGGCCGTCAGTCGGGAATTAAATTCCCCCGCAGGGAAAGCCTGCCCGCGCTGTGCGCGCGCGCAGCGCCTGCTTTGCTTCACTCAAATCAGCCCCCGTCTCCCTGGCATCTGCGTAATGGCTCAGGTTCTCTGGAAACAAAAAAGAGAAAACAAACATGCAGAGGGGAGACGTGCCAGCGGCGGAGTCCCGAGTAGGCATGTCATGCGTTTGGCGCCGGCGCATGCCACAACGGGAGGCTAGCGGGCGCGCACTGTGCCGCTCTGACACGCACAGCGCGCGCGCTCGCCGTGAACGGGTGCGCGTCGCGCCCGCGCCCTGTGCGCCCGGGCCACGCCGGCCGCGCCGCAAAGGGGGCGCCGCGACGTGGAGTTCGTTGCCGGCGGTGAACAGCGTGCACTGTGAATGGGGTGTGTGGCATGGTATCGTAGGCACGCGCACATGCGCGCCACGCCAAGCGGCGGGCCCCTGACGCGTGCGTGACATGCGCCGGGCGGGGCAAGATCGCTGGCTCGCGCGTCGCTCACTTGTCCCGTCGGCTCTGCGAGGTCCGACGTGGCTGTACACCAACACGAGCGGCATCACGTCACGTCAGTCGTGTCCATAGGCTAGGAGGACACGCGTGCGGCCCGTAGCCCGACCTGGCGAAAACACGTGTACGCGCTTGGGCCACGCCCGGCGTCCAATCGTGTCTCCAGCCTTTTCTTTTCTTTCGACAAAGGAAGGCCGCGCCGACGGCGCTATGGTGCGTGGGCCGGCCAGCATGGTCTTCCTTTTCGGTTGCTTCCTCTCCCTGTTCGTTTGTTTCTTTTGCTCATGTTTCTGACGAAATAGATGTTCTACCATTTTAAAAATATGATCACCATACTTTAAAGAAAACTTTGAAACATAAAGTTTTGTTCACATAATTTGTTAAAAAGGCTCGTAGAATTTGAAAATTTGTTCATCGCATTTAGTAAATGTTCACGAGTATGTTCTTAGTTTTTTCAGAAAATGTTCATGAAATATCAAAATATATCCGTGTAAAATTTAAAACATGTATTGTACCATTTAAAAAATGTTCATGACATGCTTTTTTTCTTTTGAATGTTTAAGTATATGTTAGTGATATTTTTGAAAAATGTTTAACGCATGTGTGAAAATGTGCTCAGTGTTCATTGAAAGAGAGTTCAACGTGCATTTGACGAAAGCTCAACATGCGTTAAAAAAAGTTGTACGCAAATTTTAAAAATCTTCATCGTCTATCTTGTTAAGTCCAGACCACAACCACCGCTTTTCGGCTGTTACGCGTGGCACATCTAGTTTGACTCCATAAACCAACACTAGTCGTTTCTGCATACCTTTTTCTCGCACCAAGGAACAACTTTCCAATTGATCATCCATCCTCAAACTGCTCCAAATTAAACACATTTAACTTGGGGTTCTTTAGAGATGGGATTCTGAAAAATACGACGCTTCTTGTGGATATGAGTATTGAGTAGTCTACCATTCATATCGAGCCAAGATGCCACACACATCGTCTGTCAAGGAACTGTCGTCCTCATCGACCCAATAGGAATGTTCCCTCTTAACATGTTTATGCATGTCAGTACTAACATCCACATTAGCCAACTATGAGTTACGACGGGACACACACACGTCATGTGTATGTGTGCGTTACCGACCCGCACAAGCCCATATAACTATGATGGCCGACACTGAGGCCATTTATAACGCCCACCCATATCCATGAGTTTCGGACCGTTATATATATATATATATATATATATATAGGGTCGCGCTATTCGTCACTTTGGGTGAGGAATAGTTATTTTTCACCCCCTCTATTTTACCATCAATGCATCGTAATTTTATGTTTCGTAAGTTTTGTTTTATTTCCGACGCAAAAAGAGACCGTAAGAAAAATATATAATCGCCGTAAACAATATTTTATGTTATGTAAAATTACAAACGTAAAAACATAGCCTAAAATACACATACACTGCAATTTTTCTTGTATTATGACCTATATTTTTATTTTTTATGTCAAATTTTACGTAGTGAATCAATAAAAATGTAACTATTTGGCTCGATATATATATATATATATATATATATATATATATATATATATATATATATATATATATATATATATATACTCCCACTGGCCGATACTATTATTTTTTTACAAAGGAAATACAATACAAAAAAAGCACAAAGCAGACATAACAAACAAGAAATGATGAAAAAAAACCCAGAAAAAATAGGGGAGAACCAGTAGAGAAAAAAGAGAAGAAAAATAGATCACGGAGCCGTACCAAGACAGGGCGAAAGTTACAAAAACCGGTATGAATTGTGTATATAAGCTACCCCAAACCATATATGGGCTGGTGAGGGTGCCACCTTATTGGGGGCACTTTTTTCTGGCCATAAGCGCACTTTGACGCTTTGATGTGGTGCGCTGCAGGGTCTTCATGTATCGCACACTGGACACTTATCAGATCGGAATGATTTTCGAGTTTCTTTTTTCTTGTTTAGTTCTTTTGTCGTCAGTTTTTCCTATGTTTTTTCCCTATTTCTTCAGGGAAAAAAATCAGTTTTTGTTTATCATGAGCGTGCAGCACATTTGTCTTTCCGTGTTAAACACAATTGTGCTTCTCACGTGAAAGCACAATTCTGCTTCCCCAAAAGGTGAAGCACGTGTGTGTGTGTGTATATGTGCTTTCATAAGAAGCACAAGTGTGCTTCTATGCTTCGCCAAAAGCGAAACACATGTGTGTTTTCACGTGAAACATAATATAGTACATTTCCGAAGAACCATGTGAAGTATAGTTTTGCAACATAGATTTCGCCGAGAAAAGTTCATCGAAATCAATATGTGATCTAATTTAAAAAATCTTGACGTGGGAAATGCAACGGTGAAAATAATTTGTGATTTAAACGCATGGTTCAAGATAAATCATTTTCAAAATTCAACTTTATATGAAAAAAAACACTAGATAACCCACTCATCTCTTTCTAGCCCACCAAAGCGCTAATGGAAGTGACATTTGATTTCTGTATGATCCAGCCCACCAAAGCGCTAGATGGCGGAGGATAAGCCTAGGCTCAAACAGAAAGCACGGCCCAGTCCGACTAGTCCCATTCCCCCACCTCCGTCCTCTGCCGCCGACGGACGATGGCGTCCGTCCCGGAGGCGCGGCCGGCGCCGCTCGCCGCCTTCGCGTCGCTCCTCGCCGCGCGCCGCTTCGGGGCGGCGAAGTCGATGCTCCCGTCCCTCCTCACCCCCACCCTCCTCGCGGTCCCCTTCGCCGACCTCGCGGCCGGCTCCCTCCCGCGCGCCGCGCCGCGGCACGCCGTCGCGGCCTTCCACGACATGCTCTTCCGCGCGTACGCAGACGCGGGCGTCCCCGAGCGCGCGGCCGAGGCGCTCGACCTCACCGTCTCCCGCCTCGGCAGCCTCGACCCGCGCTCGCTCACCTCGTCGCTGCTCTCGCTCCGCCGGACCGGCCATCTGCTCCCCGCCGCCGAGCTCCTCAGGAAGGCGCTCGCTTCCTGCCCGGGCTCCATCACGCCCCTCTCGGCCTCGGTCGTCGTCGACGGCTTCTGCAAGGCCGGCCGCATGGACGACGCCCGCCGCCTGCTCGACGAAATGCCAAGCCACGGCGTGAAGCTCAACGCGTGCTGCTATAACTCGCTGCTCGACACCTACACGCGCCAGAAGAATGATGGACGGGTCGCGGAGGTGCTGAAGGAGATGGAGAGTGGAGGCGTGGAGCCGACTGTCGGGACGTATACGATCCTTGTCGATGGTTTGTCGATGGCTGGCGATATCAGCAAGGTTGAGTCCGTGTTTGATGAGATGAAGAGGAAGAATGTCGCAGGCGATGTCTACTTCTACAGTGCGGTCATCAATGCGTATTGTCGGGCTGGGAATGTGCGGAGGGCGTCTGAGGTGTTCGACGAATGCGTTGGCAATGGCATCGAGCCGAATGAGCGTACTTATGGAGCATTGATCAATGGGTTCTGCAAGATTGGGCAGATGGAGGCTGCTGAGATGTTGCTGAAGGATATGCAGGTGAGAGGAGTAAGACATAACCAAATCGTTTTCAATACGATGATTGATGGGTATTGTCGCCATGGCATGGTGGACAAGGCCCTGGAAATTAAGGCAGTCATGGAGAGGATGGACATCCAGTTGGATGTCTATACATACAACACGCTTGCGTGTGGGCTCTGCAGGGTGAATAGAATGGAAGAGGCCAAGAAGCTACTGCATATCATGACCGAGAATGGAGTTGAGTCAAACTATGTCAGCTACACCACGTTGATCAGCATCCATTCCAAGGAGGGTGACATGGTAGAGGCAAGAAGGCTGTTCCGAGATATGGAAGGTAAGGGGTCAAGACCGAGTGTCGTAACCTACAATGTCATGATTGACGGGTACATCAAGAATGGGAGCATACGTGAAGCCGAGCGGTTCAAAAAGGAGATGGAGAAGAAAGGGCTTGTTCCAGATGTATACACTTACGCAGCAATAGTTCATGGGCACTGTGTCAATGGGAAGGTGGATGTGGCACTGCGGTTGTTTGAAGAGATGAAGCTGAGGGGTGCCAAACCTAACGTTGTGGCATACACAGCTCTGATATCAGGTCTAGCAAAGGAAGGCAGATCAGAGGAGGCCTTTCAGTTGTATGACAATATGTTGGCAGCTGGATTGACTCCAGATGATACTCTATATTCTATGCTTGTTGGAAGCCTCCATACAGATAAAAGAAAACATGAAATCCCATGAGGAATGTAAGGTTTGTCAGGCTTATTGTTCTTAACAGATGATACCGTAAGGGAATTGACCGAATCCTCTCTCACATGAATCACCATGAACACTAAGGCTGGTAGCGCCATTGCCATGCCCAGGGCTGATGTGCTACAGGGATCCGGAGTCGCTACCAGTTCGAGGCAGGACCGCAGAAAGACTGGCACAACATTGATTTGGTGCTGTACCAGTTCGATGCCGCCGAGCACCTCCACATGGAGGAGCGTGGAGGAGGACATCTTGTAAGGTGAGGGCCAAAGGCTTGGTTTTACCGTGTTGACTGGAACATCTGAATGGATAGAAACCTACTGTCGTATTATTTTGTTCAGGGTTTCAGGCCTTTGGATGTACTGAATGATTAATTGTTATGAGATGAGGGGCTTGCCTATTTTGGAGCATGTCAATGTTAATTGTTTTTGTCTTACTTCTGGTGCATTGAATTTGGATATTTGGCACCTGGATCAGATTATTTGCTGAATAGGTTAAAAGTTATAGTAAGTTCATTTTTGAAACTGAATTAGTTGATAAACCTTCAAACTGAGGGTCCAGACATGATGTGCTGAAGTGAGCAAGTATTATACTAACAACACCATATAAATGCCCGCCCAGTCTTCAGTTTGGCAGTCTTGATAATTGTCATCCTTATGCTTGTCTTCTAATGCGTTGACTTGCTTTGACTCTCAAATTTAGGACATGTTGGCTTTGGTTTCTTCCTCTGGCATACATGTATTTTTTAATATAGTTATATTGACATACTCCGGAAGTTCATGTTTTCACTTGAGGTTAGCCAAGCCGAGCCTTTGGATGTCAGTAATGACTATTATGGTCTTTCTGTTAGTTCTTGACAGGTATTCGAAGTTAGAACCTCTTTAAACTGTAATAACTATCTTAGTTGATTTGGTAATCATGAATGGTAGAATCTTCAGAAGTGTTGGCCAAAGATTTGTGGTCTGCTGGTCTTGCAAAGCTGTTTCCTTTCCGTAGTGAACTTGATGTGCTTAGTGGCCTGATTGTAGATAACTAGATGTACCAAACTATGAATTTATGTCACGGGATTTTTTTTTTGAACTTTTGATCCACCGCTTTCTTGTAACCACAGCATGTGGTGGCAATTAGGTTGGCATGGGAAGCTGTAACCACCAATAGGCTGCTGCCATCATGACATTGGTCATGCACATTGAACTAGTATTAGCCAAAGCGTAAACTATCAGTTGGCTTAAATCATGCAATCGATGATTAATTTCTGTTTGCTTATAGTGGCACGTCTATGATACACATGGTTTGAACCCTGTGATTCTGATTTTACAGCTTCATGCTTGCAGGTCTGGTTTGGCTACAGTACAGTCAGTATTGAAAGATTTGCGTTCTCTGTTCTTGCCAAACCGCAATCAATTTAAAGTTCTACCACCATTCTGGATTGTGCAACTGAGAAATGGCAGAAACGAGGCGAGGAGCGGAGATCTGGTCTATACACTATACACTAACCTATTCGAAAAGTTCTTCTCTCTGGAAGTTCCATGGTTAACTTATTATGCTACTGCAGTATTACCTAGTGCTCACTGCGGATTGCAGCGCCGTGAGCTTCTTATGTTAGTAATACCATACGTTCAGTTTCTCTGAAATAAAATGGGTGTGTAAAATCGGCTACAAAAGGACTTGATTCAGAGTATTTATGGAACCATTTCTCTAATTCAAGTACCTTTTCAAAATACATGGTATATAGAACTGTTACAAAATAAGCAATTCTTGTCCATTTTATAATGTTTCACTCTTGCAGGGTTTTGAAACATACGCACTTCAGTTTGCTGATGCTGGTATACTGGCATGTGGCAAGCAAGCGCGATGTGCAAGCAAGTTCATATACATATCTACCCCTCCTGATCTAATGTAGTACCACTATGTATTTACCTACTTTTCTGGGTGGTCCACAGGAGTAAGTTGAACATCCACCAGCACAAGTTCTGTTTGAATCAGGGGCCGCAAATTTCATGCTTGCACCGCTGTTTGTTGCTCCGTCTGTTCATCACCGGTTTTGAGTACCTGGTCTTGTGTCTTCCTGGCTTGCTCCGTTTTTGAGCTTGCCTTCTCTTCCTGGAGAGCAGCCCTGATTTCCTTGATGTCCTTGAAGCAACAAATGACACAATGTGAGCTTGAAATGTTTACAGGATACACAGAGCCAGAAAGTAGTAAAAAGTTTGACAGAAAGAGGACACACGGATTTCAGGTGCTGCACTTCAGAAGCGAGGCCCTCCTTCACCTCCACAAGCTCCTACAGGTAACTTAACCGTCAGCATAAGTAATTCATCCCAGCCTGGGTAAACAGAGAGCCGCGGAAACTGTATTACTCCGCCCGTGTCTTTTTACTTCACATATTAGGTTTATCTTAAGTCAATCTTTGTAAAATTTAATCAAATATATGTTTCAGAAGTATGAACATCTACAATACCAACTAAGTACAATATTTCACAATAAAAATCTAATTATATTGATTTGGTATTGTAAATGTAGATATGTTTTTCCATAAATTTAGCCAAAATTTAAAAAGTTTAACTTCAAGCAAACCTGATATGCGAACTAAAAAGTAGTAACGGAGTAGTGGTACTCACGTTGTGGCAGGTCTTGACCTGCGCCTCAACGTCGGAGCGCCATTTCTGCACGTCCTGGAACACAGGGTCCAAGGTCAAAGTCAAACTGCTCACAGGAGCCCTTGGATGCATGTTACAAGGGCGATCCAACGGCCCGTATACGATACCTGTTTGAGCTTCTGGATCCTGGCCAGCAGCTCCCCCTGCGACGAGGTCAGCTCCTGCAAACCACCGCAAAAATCAGCCGATCGCCATTAAAACCCGAGCAAGCAGGGCTAAGCGGATGATGCGCCGTGGAAGTGGCCTGACCTTGATGCGCGCGTCCAGCGGCTCCAGTCCACCCGACAGCTTCTGCAGATCAAGAATGGGTCAGAGTCGTCGTGGAAGGAAGCTGGGCTACTGTTGCTCAAGAGGCTGGCAATGGATCGTGTTCGTACCGGGCGGGTCGCTGGCGGTGGAGCAGGAGGCGGAGTCGCGGCGGCGGTCTCCGCCATCTGGGCTTGGGGCTTGATCGGTCGCCGGTGGGGAGGGAGCCAGGGAGGGTGGATCGAGCGCGACGCTGCAGGCTTTGTAGTACCTGGTGTACGCTTGTCTGAAGGTGCATTTAGTTTCAAACGTAAGCAAAGTTGTTGGGTTTGGTTGCAGACACTTGTCTCCCGCCTTCGAAGGCATGTCACGTACGTAAATGACAAGAGGAAGCAGATCTCCAGCGCTTTTCAGATCGAGATCGAGAATATGCAGCATGTGATCCACCGGCGCTCTGCTGAGAATCAATGCAAATGACCGCGTTCGGTGGGTTTGTTTGTAGCATCTGGGCTTGCAGAGAACGAGAAGCAAGCGTAAAGATATAAGTATGTACAATCAAAAGAAGAAGAATTAAGTACACATTTCCATCTCCCAGTTTGTCACCCCTTTAACTTTAACCAGTGAAATTGGACATAATGGTCACTCGAGATCAAAAATGGTATGAGAAAGCACCTGTTCGGACCCAAAACCCCCCGGCTCTCGCGTCGCCCCTCGTAGGGTGGGTTAATGGTGAAAGCGCTCAAGGAAATAGGGAATGGAATATTCAAATTGATCAGAAGTACTATGCTTTATGTAATCAGGTTGAAGGCTAACATCTTGCGAGTAGGCCGAGCTAGGATAAGAATTCCAATTTAAAAAAATATATGAATTGGGCCCCAAATCACTACTTTACTACCTATTTCGACTCGAGGGCGACCGAACCCTAGCGCCTCGAACCCTCCTTCCCCCTCTCCCCCTCCCCGCCTCCGCCTGAGGACTCCGCCGGCCCGACTGTGTGGCCTTCGATGAAGGTGGTGGCGAGGCTCTGCTACCCTGCCCCGTCGCAGGGGGCTCAGGAAGCCGAGGCGGCGGCCTCGGGTGGAGATGGCGGCGCGGATCTCACTGGTGGATGGTGTCGCAGGAGTTGGTCGTCCCTTCCGTCCGTGTGGGCGGCAGTAGGGCGACGGAGGTCCTCTATGGCTGCGGGATCACCGGTGGCTCTGCCGGATCTGGATCCTGGCCTCCTCCCCTTGCTACAGCCTGCCCGGCCAGATCTAGTTGTTGGGCGTGGAGTGGGGGGAGCTCTGGAATGAGGGAAACCCTTCACTACTTCGCATCGACCTCGACGCCATCGGCGCCCCTGTGTCGGTCCCCTCCCGAGGGCGCGCCGAGC